CCCCTTCGTCGCACGGAGAATATCAAGTCGATAGTCAATTTCACGCCAGGTAGCGGCAAGCATGTCGGCATCCACAGAGGCTATTGAGGTTGTAATTCTGGCTTTTAGGTCATCAATGTTCAACACGATCCTCCTGTAAACATTGTCCTTTATAAATTCCCAAAGAAAAAAGTCCTGCGGCTTTATATCAGGTGATCTGGGTGGCCAAGGAATTGAACCTCCTCGCCCAATTCATCTTCCTGTCTCATCAGTCGTATACTTAGACATGTTGGAAAACTTTGTATTTCCACAACTAGAAGAGCTTCAGCCACATGTCTTTTTGCAACAAGATGGTGCACCACCTCATTGGGGTATCATCGTTCGTAGTTCTTTGAATGACCATTTTCCAGGAAGATGGATTGGGCGAGGAGGTTCAGCCTTCCTTGAGCACCCAGATCACTTGATATAAAGCCGCTGGACTTTTTTCTTTGGAGATTTATAAAGGACAATGTTTACAGGTGAATTGTGTCGAATAATGATGACCTAAAAGACAGAATTACAACCTCAATAGCCTCTGTGGATGCCGTCATGCTTGCCGCTACCTGGCGTGAAATTGACTCTAGACTTGATATTCTCCGTGCGACGAAGGAGGCACACGTGGAAGTTCATTGACAAGGATCATGAAACTTTTTGAGTCTATCTAACCATTTATGTTATTAATTTCAGTTTATCTTTATTATTTTATGAGTTATTAAGCATCAAAATGGGTCCGGGACTTTATAAACACCCTGTATATATATATAAATAATTTAATTTGGAATTTTGTTGAAGTTTTCCTAGAAGAATCAGGGAATTTTGTTCCTAAAATTGAACTCTAATAAAGTATTCTTACTTACCATTCATCAGTCAGCTTTTTATTCTGAACATAACTCAAAATTTGTGTAAAAGAAATGAGCATAGCCTGAAATAATTTATTAAAAAAAAAAAACTTAGTCCTAAATTATATAATGTATTCAGTATTCATAATTTTTAAATTATATAATAGCATTTGATTCCATTTTTCAAACTTCATCTTATGAAATTTTTTTAAAGAATAAACTAGTGAATCTAAATAAATTTGTAATATGTTCTTCATTCACCTAAATCGATTTCTACGTTATTTTAAATGTTTCTTTTTTTAAAAGATTTAACCCCTTAACTGCCATTGGCGTATATATACCTCTCGGCCAGACGATGCGTTAACTGCCGCGGACGTATATATACGCTTTCCCGAAGTACGATGCTTTGCATTGCGCTGCTATAAATAGAACTTTACCCCCTACTTCAGAACGCAGTAAAATGACTCTGAAAGTGTTTGCTTTGCGAATGTATTACTAATTTTGGAGGAGGGGGAAAGGGAAAAGGATGTTATGGAAAAGTGATATTGTATTAATCGCTTGTATGTCTCTATTTGATACAAGCGATTAATACAATATTCATTTGTAACATTTGAAGCAAAACTCCAAGAAGCAAATAAAAACAAGGACTGGTTGGAAGGAATTAAAGATATTCCGTCATGGGCAAGAGAAAAATCTGTGGCCCTTTTTCGCCTCGCCACTGGCCATGACTGTTTATCAAAACACCTGCATAAAATCAAAATCTTTTCAAGCCCCTCTTGTCCATTATGTAACCTACAAGAAGAAATGGACGCTAACCATCTAAGACGTTGCCCTGCACTTCCTCCCGGGGCCTTGTGGGAACGATATTGGCGGGCGAGATGCATTATTACAGACCTATAGACTCTTTATTTTTGTAGCTCTTGTTTCCGTTTTTTGTTCTTTCTTTATATTGTTCTTGGCTACAAATTTGTCTTTCATGTCTGCTATTGGAAATAAAAAAAAAAAAATGTCTCTATTTGAGTAAGGTCGGGTTTATTCTTCTTTCGCTTTCATTTCCCGTGTGTATTTGGTGCGCTTTTTATTCTTTCCATCAACGTCTTCAAAGAAAAATGCATCGCGAAAATGTGCCTAACTGATGCGTTAACTGCCGCGGACGTATATATACGCTTTCCCGAAGTACGATGCTTTGCATTGCGCTGCTATAAATAGAACTCCACCCCCTACTTCAGAACGCAGTAAAATGACTCTGAAAGTGTTTGCTTTGCGAATATATTACTAATTTTGGAGGAGGGGGAATGGGAAAAGGATGTTATGGAAAAGTGATATTGCATTAATCGCTTGTATGTCTCTATATGAGTAAGGTCGGGTTTATTCTTCTTTCGCTTTCATTTCCCGTGTGTATTTGGTGCTTTTTATTCTTTCCATCAACGTCTTCAAAGAAAAATGCATCGCGAAAATGTGCCGTTTGTCCAAGAAGAAAAAGTTGTCGTGAATCCCGCTATCAGTGCAATGAATGTGATGTTGGTTTATGTGTCCAACCATGTTTTAGGATTTATCATACAACAGCTAAGTTTTAACATCTTTTATATTGTAGTATTTTTATTATTTAATTTAAATTTTGTATTTTCTTTCTTTCCTTTTTCTTGTCTTGTAAGAGTAAACTGTTTTTAAATTGCAAAGCACCATCATTTTCCCCCCAAGAAAGTGCACTTGAGCGAAAAACGGTGGCACTGGGGAGTGAATCACGTAAATTTTACTCGGCAGTTAAGGGGTTAAAAAGTAAATTTATTGTAGTGGTATTCAATTTATGTTGTACAAATTTTAAAAAGCTTTTCAATCGTTTAGTGATCTGAATACAAAGAGATTGCCCAAATAAGTGACTTCTGTAATATTGACATCCGAGATTCTCTCAGAATATCATATCTGTATTTCAACAACTCAAAAAAAGAGAAAAGAAGTTTCTAAAGAAATGAGTTTATTTAAAAACATTAGTAATAAAAAATGTCACAAACAGAGTGACGAAAAGAAAAGAAAGAATACCCAAATGATCTGCTTCAACAGAAGCTTAAATACAGATAATGGGTGACGTCATGATCACGCAAGAACGACCAACAGCAAATGAAAATAAACTGGCCGATCCCCGCAGACCACGACGCAAGTTGAATGCATGAGATCGACGACCGTACCGAACCTCGTACCTTTAAGCCTCTATTTGCCTAACAAATATAACCAGTCCTGTATTATGATTATGCTTAACATTTAAGAAAGTAAGCACAAGCTTTTGAGTAGGTGCATTTCTTGTTGTGTCATAAACTAGTAGTTTGTCCTGAATGAAAAAAACTTTCTTTATTATTTCCAATCATTCTATATTTACAGCCTGTGTCTTCGACTTTCGAATCTTCAGCAGCACCCATAACGTCTCCCTTTCCTGAACTTCCAGTCAATGAACCCCATGTAGGCCAAACTCCTGGGGGTTATTTTGTGCCTTCTTTCCCACCACAAAATCCTGCTGCTGTCATGAATCCTGCTGCATCAATGGTGCCTAACACAATGCCTCCACCCGAGGAAACAAAACAGGTACAAATTTTGAATTACTTACCAGGGGTCTGTCCAGACATGTTGTGAAAGGTCCGTTTTTGTAAAATTGTGAAAAAATGACTCGTAATTTGGCAATATAAAATAGGTGTTAAGTCACATTCTTTCAACCAGGGTCCGCTTTTGTGAATGTGTGCAAATAGGGTCCGTTATCGCAAAAAAAACTTTTTCAATGAGTTTTTAAATTGTAAAGATATACAAGATTATGCTCAACACTGTAAAATTATAATTAAAAAAAATTAAATTTTAAAAAATAAAAAGCAATTTCTGCTACTAAATTAGCAATGCAACATATAAATATTTGGTATTTAGTCTTTTTAAAAAGTTATGTGATGTCCAAGTTGAGTTATATTTTTTTCTTGCTTGATAAAAATTCAAAAATTAGTTTTTCATTAAGCTTGCTGAGCATTTTCCACTGAACTATTCCAGCAAAAAAAAATTTTTTGATGGGTTTTAGAGTTTTCATTTTTTTAAGAAGTTCATCCTAACCCTGATTAAAAGTGATCTCAAAATTTGAATTTATTGCAGCAGCAACAGCATCCTGTAGAGCAACCTAAAGAGAAAGGTCCCATTCCTCCTGAACACCAAGTTTTGCAGGATATTTTTGAAGATCTTAGAAGGCAGTGTCAACAAGTTGCTACCAATCCTGTAATTTTTCCCTTCCTTTCTTTTCTTGTTGTTAACCCCTACAGCAATGCACTGATTAAAACTGTGTATTTTATTTGTAGCAAACTCGACGAAAATTGGATGATGTTGCAAAGAAATTAGAAAACTTGTACGATAAACTTCGAGACAATTCGGTGAGTTGAACCAAATTTTTTTTTCTCAATGTTTATTTTATGTTTGTGGGAAAAACCTGTTCCTTAAAATAGGAGAGTTCAATCTTTTTAGCTTAGGTGCAAAGCAGCCTAGACCTAGTTGTTTTATTTTAAAGGGGTCATCTCCCACCCCTGAAAGATAGGGTCGTTTAATGGTCTAATTAATTCAATATCAGCGCTTCTGTTCAATGATGATTCTTGATACGTTGTGGCTCAGGGGATAGAGCATTCGCCTTTGAATGAGGCGAACCGGGTTCGAATCTCAGCGAAGGCTGGGCGACACGAATTCCACTCTCTGCTCGAACCGATCACAGTGCTGAAGCAAAATATCCCCAGTGGTAGACGGATCACAGGTTAGAGTTCCCTTCCCGCCAGGCTGACCGTAGCTGGTTTTCGTGGTTTTCCTCTCCATGTAACTCAAATGCGGGTTTGTTCCTTCAGAGTCCTCCACGAAGGCAAAATTTATCCCAATACTTGATCCAGAAGTTCCCTTGTTTTTTTGGATTAGTTTCAAAATGACAAGGCTGGGTAGTTGAACATCAATGTCGTAAACCCGAAAATTGGGTCAGTTGTTTGACAACGGGTATAAAATAAAATGTTGATTCTTAAACATCAAGATATGGGAAATAACTGAATTGTAGAAAATACGTCCCAAACACTTCAATCACAAGAATTATCTTAAGAGTGACGCTAATAATAAAATAAACACTTCGTGTTAAATTCTGTTTCATCTCCATTTAAAGTTTTGAGTTTCTAATACTCAAAAGAATATATTCACAACATCAAAATTCAAGCGTACAATAACTTTCCCACTACATCATCCTATGCAATTCTGCCATAATTTGTTTGCATTTTGCTATTTTAAAAACATTTTTTTTTTCAGTATTTAATCTTATGAGTTTCCCCTGCAATTAAAACTAATAAATGTAGTGTATAGCTCACACAAAAGCACAGCAATTGTTATGTTCCTCTTAATACAGGGTGAGCCAGTCAAACCTGCATTTTTGAAAAGGGCGAGAGAGCCGTGAAAGTGGGCAGAGCGAGTTACCATGGTTACCATTGTGTCCCCCACAGCTAAGCATTTCAGTCGCCATGGAGCAGTGGTCTAAACAACAACGTTCGTTCGCTGTGAAAGCGAACGAAAGTTTTTCCAAATCGGGTGATATCCCGAAATGGAGCAATTTCTAGACCTTTCCGATCGCCGGACTTCACAGCGTGCGATTTTTTCTTGTGGGGGTACTTGAAGAGTAAAGTCTTTGAACAACGACCTCCAAGGCTTGGGGAACTCGAGAGGAGAATCCGGTTGGAAACCGAGAGAATTCCTCAGCCTATGCTCCGTGATGTGATAGACAGTTTCAGAAATCGCCTACTAGAATGTCTCGATCGGGAAGGACACCATCTTACTGGCGTTATTTTTAAGCAGTGAGTGTTGTTTCTTAAATGCTTTTTAATGTAGATTAAGATAGTAACATAAAATTTTGAAATATCCATCCGTTTACTTTTTACAGTCATTTCAAAAATGCAGGTTTGACTGGCTCACCCTGTATATTGTGTATAATATGTACAGGGAATTTTTGTTCCAGATTTGAGTGGCAACCCTGTATACCAGTGATTCCCAAAGTGGTCTATATCGACCTCCAGAGGTCGATGACAACTGACAAGGGATCCATGTCAAGTGAAAAAAAATTTGAGGGTCCATGAAATGAAAATGGGGGTCAACGATAGTAGATCTTATATGAGCATGTCGTGATTTTTAATTTTGGCATTTCGTGAATGGAATAATCAACATACTCTGAAGACATATATCTATCTACATTCTACATAATTTATAAAAGTAGCTGTGAAGTAAAAATTTTATTAAAATTCAAGTTTTTAGGATTATTTTCTGATATATGAAACTGAATTATTATAAACTAGCAGTTGCCCGCAGCTCAGCCCGCGTACGTAATTATTTTCTCTGCATGTAAGGTTTTATTTCGTAACAAAAAAGTTTTTTTCCATGGAAAATTGTAGCCTAGCCTGTGTCAACTTTTTAGCTAGCTAGACCTCAAACTTTATCGGCTCACAAGATCACGGAGATTTGTTGCTTAGTTTTTACTTGATAATGTAATAAACTGACCGACACTACACTGCTACGGTTTTGTATACAAACTTATATCCGCAATTATAATATTAGTAGCGNTACATTCTACATAATTTATAAAAGTAGCTATGAAGTAAAAATTTTATTAAAATTTAAATTATTGGGATTATTTTTTGATATATGAAACGGAATTATTATAAACTAGCAGTTGCCTGCAGCTCAGCCCGCGTACGTAATTATTTTCTCTGCGTGTAAGGTTTTATATTTTGTAACAAAAAAGATTTTTTCCATGGTGAATTGTAGCCTAGCCTGTGTCAACTTTTTAGCTAGCTAGACCTCCAACTTTATCGAATCACAAGATCTCGGAGATTTGTTGCTTAGTTTTTACATGAAAATGTAATAAACTGACCGACACTACACTGCTACGGTTTTGTATACAAACTTATATCCGCAATTATAATATTAGTAGCGGAGTAGGGGTTTTATAGTGCACTATTTTATTCCATATATGTATTAATTAAGTGAAATTAGTATGTTTCATAAAATTGTGAAAGTTGTAGGCATTCATTTTGTGGTCGCAATACAATTTGAACTTGTAAAAACTTGCACATATACTTATTCCGTATTATGGAATATCGCGAGAAAGTTTTTAATTGCTTTTCCATCTTCATACCTAGTGGAAAGGGGTTTCAGCACAGTTGCCAATTTCCTAACAAAAAAAAAAGCCAGACTGAACATTATTAATCGAGGAGATTTGAGATTAAACCTAACTATATTGATGCCAAATATTGATATTTTATTATGAAAGCATCAGGCTCATCCCTCCCACTAAAAGCATTTATTTATTGCTTAGTTATTTTATATAACAGATACTAAATTTTAATTAAGCTCGTTTTAATTTGAATTTAATTAATAAATGTATAAAATTAACATGTGTTTTTTTCTTAAGTTTTACACGCTACACTTCACTGCAGTTAGAAATTTAAATCTTTCGCGGTGAGTAGCACTATACCAGCTATCAAGAATACATTTTAAATTGATGAATTCGCGAAAAATTAATATCAGGTAAGCAGGGGGTCTACCCGAAACAGAAAAACTTAGCGAGGGGTCTACGAGAGAATAAAAGTTCGGGAACCACAGCTGTATACAATAACAGGGAACTACTCCACTAAATTTATGTACTTTATAATTACCTATTTGAAATAATTGTGTTTTTGTTTTTTTCCTCCAGCTTTCAAATCCAGTAACGTTAGGCCTCCACCAGGTAGTGCAAGCAATTATGCAAAGTGACTATGCCAATGCATTGGGAATTCATGGACAACTTGTTGCTAATGCTAATTTCAGTGAAATAAGTGGGTTTATGCCCAGTCTGAAAGTCCTTCTGCAGACATCCTCACAACTGAATGTATTCTTGCAATAGAACTGTTAATAGGGTTTTTTTTATATTTAAAATATATCTCTCAAGTCATGAAAATTGTATAATTATTATGCTATATATAAAGAATTATGTTTGGAAGAAAAAGGTTTTTCAATTATGTGTTGTGTTATTTCCTTTTTTTTAATTTTGTAACTTATTGTAATACTTCTGATGAAATTGTCATTATACATTATAGAAAATGTAACACTCTAAAACGTAAAAAAAATAATGAAAGCTAGTTAACGATGTAAGATTTGAAAATCTGGCAATTATTTACAAAGGATGGGTACACTCTCAAAATATCATGGTTTATATATATATATATATATACTTATTTTAAAAATATAAAAAAAATCGGATTTAAAATGCTATAGGTAAAAAATACTTTATGTTAAAAAGATTGAAAAGATAGAAATAACCGTGTTATTTGCAACAAAAAAAATCATCCCTTTTCAATAAGTACTTTTATGTTATAAGTATTAAAGAAACTGATTTAAATTTTCTCTTTGTTCTTAGTTTGTGCTTTGGTTCATTGCGCTCAAAGTACTAGTGTAATTTTTTTAATTGAAACACTGCAATATATCTGTTATAAAATCTTGAAATGCTTTGTAAATTCTTAAAGTAAAAATCATCTCATCCATAATTTTTGTTTCAATTTGTAATGAGAATACTTTCAGTCTGTTATTAGACAATGAAACTGTTTTATCCCTTAACATTAGATGAATGATCATGTCTGTTTATTCGAAACTCTTGAGATTACAAGAGTGTTGTTTAGGGCAGTGTTTCCCAAAGTGTGGTACGCGTACCCCCAGGGGTACGGGAGCAGTTTAGAGGGGGTACTCGTTCTTACGCGAATTATGAAAATTTCTAAAAAAAAATTTTAAAAACAAAGCTAGCCATGAAAATTTACGATTACGTATTTTTCTGATGGCTATTTTTCACAGAATTAACAATTCATAATTAGTTGTGTCAACAGCCAGTTGTGAGTTTTACCTTTTGTGCAAATTTTTTATAGTAAAAAATGCATTTATTTTTTTATTAGGGGTACGCAGCGTTACGAAAAATTTAGAAAGGGTACACAAAAGTCATAAGTTTGGGAAACACTGGTTTAGGGGAGTAAATTTATTCTTCCTTTCCTCTGGAATGTATTTATACAAGTATTTTTTACAATACAACTTCCTGTTGTAATAGACTTTACATTAAAACTATGTCATTGAACTCAAATGCTGAATGTACATACGTTAAAAATAAATTTATTTTGGGGTGTTTTTTTTTTTTGTTTTTGAAAATTTTAAGAATTCTTTAAATCGCAACTTTTGCAGCCTCAATTTTGCTTCTGCAAAATGTTCTATACATTTTTTACCAATAATGATGAAGGTATTTTTCTCAAATTATATTTATTTCCGATATTTTTCACAAATACAGGTATTTCTTATTTTCGGTAAGTAAAAAGAAAAAAAATATGTGGTTTTTAGCCAAAATTCTATGTATTTTTAATAGCACAACTTGTATATAAACAAAACAAAATTCTATGTATTTTAAGCTCTTTTACTAAATTTTTTTTTTCATTAATATTTTTCAACATTAAAAAAAATCAAACGTTTTTTTTTTTTTTTTTTAAGGCTGTAGAGCTGTGATATTTCACCTTAAAACACTAAAAAAAAAAAAAAATTTCTGACAAAAAATCTAAAATCCATTTGGAGAATTTTAGTGAGGAAAAGTGCAACATTTATTATATGAAAAAAATTAAAGGTCAGAAATTTTGTGTTAAAAAAATTTCCTGTAAACTCTTTTTATTTTTTTTAAATGACGAAATAACTCTTGATTTTTTATGTTGAAAAATATATTTAACATTATGTGAAACAGAATTGAAGTGGAAGTTTCCCTGTTAAAAAATTCTTAATACATCAAAAATGAAGAAGAAAAAATTCTCAATAGTAAATAGTTTTTCATATATTTTCAGCATTTCGATAGTTTAGTTATATAGTTTTTTTTTTTCTCCGTGAAGGACTTATAAGAGTTTCAAAATTATAATGATTCAAAAATTATGAAAATTGCATCATAAATACATTTTTAACACATTACATTATCATTTATTGCAAATGACATATTTTAACATTTGTAGTTATGCAATTTTCTTAAATTGAGTCCAATTTTAGAATAGCCCCTAATCGTAGTTTTAGTCCAAAAATTCTGAAAAATTATTTTAACCATTTTTTGACTTATCTGTGGGAAAAAAAATTTTTTTTTTTTTCAACAAAATCTGCAACACGAGGTAAACTAGATTTATTTTGGTCGATTGCACTTGGAATGAGTCGTTAAAATTTTTTATGTAGTCAGTTCGAAAGCTATCCGAAAAGTAAGGTCACTTTTTTTTAAAANAAGATTTTTCCTTACTTATAGTAGGACCGGGGTAGCCTGGTTGGTAGGGTACTGGGCCCATGGCCAAGAGTTCGTGGGTTCGATCCCTCCCCCCCCCTCCCTGCCGAAGTCTCCCTGTGTAGTAAATGGTGACTGATACACGTTAAATCTGTCGATTCACAAAGTCCTCCGTGTTCCTATAACAAATCAATACCTCTGGGGGTACTGATCCAGGAGTTCCCTTGTCTTCTGGATAGGGTTCAAAATGACAAGGCTACGGAGTTGAATATTAGTAGTCGTAAACCCAAAAATTGGGTCGGCTGTTCAACGACGGATATTTAGAAGGGAAAAAAAACAAATAAAAAAAGAAGGCGATTCTTAAGACTGATTCTCAAATTGATTCAGAATTAAGTAATTTTGATATCTTCATTCGAAGGACCCATTACAAAAACGTGACGATATCAGGAATCCCCCCCTCTAGAGGGCTTTCACGGAAGAACTTGTTCAGTGAAAGTCCGGAACAAGATCCCTCAGAGAAGAGGGAGGGGGGGACAGAAAGAAGAAAAATTACAAGTTGAAGACGCAACAGTACTTTCCCACGCAGGTGTGTGTTTGGAGAGTTGCATTCCACAGGTGCGGCCCCCGGGGTCAGACATCTGGGCTCCCTCCCCCACACACAGGTCGCATGCCAACCAGGTTGTTCTTATGTCTTTCAAGGTCTCTTCTTCTTCCCTCATGCAGCAACTTTTCAGACGGTTTATTGTTGGGAGAAAACGATAGTTAATTGATCAGATTGAGCTTCACTTGAAATAATGCGAGTGATCTTTTTTATCTGAATTAACTGATGCTAACCCACGAAGAAAAGTCAACAGTTTCACGAACAAATCGAGGAAGAAGAATATGTCATTTAAGTAATTATTCGGACGTAATTAGATATTTTTGGAGAACAAAGAATTAATTTATATGTAAAGTTTAATTGGACGGCGATTGGTTTATTGTTGGGAGATAACGATAGTTAATTGATCAGATTAAGCATCACTTGAAATAAAGCGAATGATGTTTTTTTTATCTGAATTAACTTTTCTCATGAATTAACTGATGCTAATTCAAGAAGAAAAGTCAACAGTTTCGCGAACAAATAGAGGAATAAGAACATGGCCCTAATTTAATGTCATTTAAGTAATTATTCGGACGTAATGAGATATTTTGTAGAACAAAAAATTAATTTAGTTACAAATTTTTATTGAACGTAACTTTGAATACATAATTGTATTGTAATAAACAACGTATGATTTAAAAATCGTCTCTCACATCTTCAGAAGTCATTTATGAAGCCAGTCTGTTCCCGAAATGATTAGTTTTTATATACTGACTTTAATGTATTAAAATAAAACAAATTTGGATTTAACTGCTTTAAGCGCTTTTCTATTTTGAGTGGGATGTTTTTTTTTTTAAACAGGACGATTTGTTTATTCATTTGTTTTTGAACGGAAGTTATGTTATATTTATAATATATAGGTATAACGAAAGATATGTAATTTTTAATAATATTTTTGTAAAAGTTAAAGGTATTTAGATAAGCAGTGGGGGGAACTTTTAAGTGAGACGCATTTTTTTTTCCTTCCTTTCTCTGTAGGTTATTTCGTTATGAATTTTTGTTCCAGATTTGAGTGGCAATCCTGTATACCAGTGATTCCCAAAGTGGTCTATATCGACCTCCAGAGGTCGATGACAACTGACAAGGGGTCCATGTCAAGTGGAGAAAAAAATTTGAGGGTCCATGAAATGAAAATGGGGTATAACGAAAGATATGTAATTTTTAATAATATTTTTGTAAAAGTTAAAGGTATTTAGATAAGCAGTGGGGGGAACTTTTAAGTGAGACTCATTTTTTTTTTTTTTCCTTCCATTCTCTGTAGGTTATTTCGTTATGAAAGATTTGTTATTTTTAAGCTAATTTTAGTGCAGAAAGAACTGAAACGATTCCTTTCTTTTCTCTTGCTATTTTAATAGTTGATTCTCTACTGGAGGTAAGGGGGGGCGGACTTTTCCCCCTTTTATTTTTATAGCTGTAATTTATTTACTTGTCACTGGAACTGCATAATGAGCTATTGGCGACGAATGATGATCCGAAGACATGCGATCACAATTTTGATCCTCAGCAGAGGGGATGACACCCTCGCTTCGGTAGCCCGACGACCTGCGCGTGAAGTCAGACACTTTGCGGTAGAACAGTTTAACAAGGACCCATACCGCACACCATCGGTGCCATCGCAGGCTGATCCTAGTGGTCATCCACAGCACACTGACCACAGTCTGTGATGCTTGACTTCGGTGAGCCTTGTCTCAACGATCAATCCACTGCGGAACTTTTTTTATTTTTTATACGAGGGGGTTTATTTAAAATGTTATTTCTTATGTTATAAAATATAAGTTAATTTTTGTTTCTTTACTCAATTCTATAGAAAGGTGCTGAAACAATTCTCAGCATCATAAATGTGTTTCTCGCTATTTTAATAGTTGATATTTAGATTCGGTAATTGGGGTAACGGGAAGGTTTTTATTTAAGATTGGTTTCTTTTTTATAAAGCATGTTTTTTTGTTGTTTTTTTTAATAATGAATTTAATAATAAATTTTTTTTAATTATTTTTACGTAGAAAATTATGAAATGATTCATCATGAAATTTTTTCTCAATATTTTAACAGTTATGATTATGTTAAAAGAAGGAGGCTTTTAAGTGTGAAGTATTATTTTAATAATACTTAAGGGGATTATTTTAATATTTTTATGAAGTATTTATTCTAATATTTTTGAAACATTTATTTTGTATTTGATATTTTATTAATATTTGATGAACTTTTTTTATTATTTTAACGAAATTTTTTTATCAAGATTACTTTTTTTTTTTTACTTTTTATTTTATAATTTCAAATACTTGATTGAAATTTTTGTTTTGGAAAATGAGAATGAGAAATTTCAAATTATCTTTCCAATCGCAGGTTGTTTTATATATATATGTAGTGTTTTAGAGAGGAACGACAGTTTTTTTCAATGAAAGAAATATTTAATAACAAAATGAATTATTTATATATGTGATTAGATTAGATATGAATAGTTTATGTTAAAAGTATGAAATTTCAAAAACATGGGCCCTCAGCCCCGTTCACTCAAACATAAGCCCCGTTTGGGCTATGCAGTTCAAAAGATATGGGCCTGTGCCCTGTTATCACAACCATAAGCCCCGCCTGGGCTATTGCAGTTGATTGTTCAGCAACAA